CTCTAACCTAACCTCACTCATACTTTATCCTAATCTTCACCTCCTCGCACATTATATTCTCCTGATACCAGATTTCTGACCTAACCTAACTAGCACTCTAACCTAACCTCACTCATACTTATCCTAATCTTCACCTCCTCGCACATTATATTCTCCTGATACCAGATTTCTGACCTAACCTAACTAGCACTCTAACCCAACCTCACTCATACTTTATCCTAATCTTCACCTCCTCGCACATTACGTTCTCCTGATACCAGATTTCTGACCTAACCTAACTAGCACTCTAACCTAACCTCACTCATACTATATCTTAACCTTCCCCTCCTCACACATTATATTCTCCTGATACAAGATTTCTTACCTAACCTAACTAGCACTCTAACCTAACCTCACTCATACTATATCTTAACCTTCACCTCCTCGCACATTATATACTCCTGATACCAGATTTCTGACCTAACCTAACTAGCACTCTAACCTAACCTCACTCATACTATATCCTAATCTTCAACTCCTCGCACATTATATACTCCTGATACCAGATTTCTGACCTAACCTAACTAGCACTCTAACCTAACCTCACTCATACTTTATCCTAATCTTCACCTCCTCGCAAATTACGTTCTCCTGATACCAGATTTCTGACCTAACCTAACTAGCACTCTAACCTAACCTCACTCATACTATATCTAGCACTCTAACCTAACCTCATTCATAGTTTATCCTAATCTTCACCTCCTCGCACATTATATTCTCCTGATACCAGATTTCATAAGAATCTTAAGAATCTGAAGCATCTTGAAGAATCTTGAAGAATCTGAGGAATTCGATGAATCTGAAGAATCTGGAGAATCTAAGAAATTTGAGGAATCTGACGAATTTGAAAAATGTGAAGAATCCGAAGAATTAAAGGAATCCGGAGAAGACTCTTGAAGGATCCGAAGAATCTGCAAAATACGAAGAATCTGATGAAACCGAAGAAACCACCCAAGAATGCGAAAAATTCAACGAATCCGAAGGATCCAATGAATCAAAGGAATTTTGAAGCATCCAAACAAACCAAAGATTGAGAACATTTCGACGAATGAAGACTGTGAAGAATTCAAAGAAATCAAAGAATTCGAACGCGAAGAATCAAATAAATCTGAAGAAATTTGAAAGATCCGGAGAATCCAAAGAGTGAGAAAAATTCGAAGGAGCAAATACTCTTTACACAACCCGAAGGATGCAAAGAATTCGGACCAATCCGAAGAATCTGCAAAATACGAAGAATCTGAAGACTCCGTAGAATCCACAGAACCCGTACAATCCAATGGGTCTGAAAAATCTCGAAGAATTCAAAGGATCCGAAGAATGCACAGATTTCGAAGGATACAATGAGTCTGAAGAATCTTGAAGACTTGGAAGAATCCCAAGGGCCCGAATCCGATGAGTCGGAGGAATCTGAAGAATATGAGGAAACTGTGGAAACTGAGGATTATTAAGGAATTTGAACAATCTGAAAAATCTGAAGGATTCGAAAATCCCAAGGATCTGAGGAATTCGAAGAATTTGAAGAATCCGAAAAATCCGAAGAATCCGAATGATCTAAATGACTAAAAAATCTTAAAGGGTCCGAAGAATTCGCAAAATTAGAAGAATCAGAGGAATTCGAAAATACCGCAGAATCCAAATAATCCCAAAGAACCTGATGAATCTAAAGAATCCGAAGAAAAGAAGAATCGGAAGAATCTGGTGAATCATGAAGGTTTCTAAGAACCTAAAGAATCCGAAAAATTGAATCTGACGAATCGTAAAGAATACGAAGAATCAGAAAAATTCGAAGAATCTAAACACTCTCAAGAATCCAAAAAATCCGAAGAATCTGATGGACCCGAAGAATCCAAAGAAGCCAATGAATCTGATGAATACACAGAATCCGGTGAATCCGAACAATCCAATGAATCTGAAGAATCGTAAAGGATCCGAAGAATCTGACGACTCCCAGGTGTTCCAAGAATCCGAGGAATCCAATGAATTTAACGAATATTGAGAATGGGAGAAATTTCAAGAATTTAAGTACTATGAAGAATCTGGAGAATGTGAAGAATACGAAGACTCAAAAGAACCCGAAGAATCTAAAAGATCTGAAAAGATTCCAAGAATTTACAGAATGAAACAAATTCGAGAATCTAAATACTCTGAAGAAAGAATCTCAATAATCCAATGAATCTGAAGAATCTTAAATTATCAGACGAATTCGAAGAATCCAATGAATCGTAAAGGATTTTGAAGGATCCAAACAATCCAAAGGAACCGAAGAATCCAATGAATCTGAAGAAATTTGAAAGGCCCAATGAATCTAAAGAGTGAGAAAAATTAGAAGAATGTAAATACTCCGAAGGATCCAAAGAATCCGAGGAATCTGAAGAATCCGAAAAATCTAAAGAATCCAAAGGATCTGAAGAATCCGAACAATGAGAAATGTGCGCCGAAACTAAATACTCTGAAGAATCCGAAAAACCCGAACCTGGGGAATCTTTTGAAGGCGAGAGGTCCGAAGAAATCTGAAGAATTTAAGAAGTCTGAAGAATGCGAGGAATGTAAAGAATCTGACGAATATGAAGGAAGAATACGAAGAATTCGAAAAGTCCGAAGAATCTTATGAATCTGAAGGATCCGAAGAATACAAATAATCCGCAAAATCTGAAGAATCTGAGGAATCTTAAGAAACCGAAGGATCCGAAGGCTCCAAAGAATTCAATGAATCTGAAGAATTTTGAACGATCCGAAGAAACCAAAAATTGAGAGCAATTCAATGAATACCCTCACGAATTCGAAGAATGCAAAGAATTTGAAGAATGAAAAATCCGAAGTATCCTAAGAATCCAAAGAATCCAATGATTCTGAAGAATCTTGAAGAATTCGAAGAATGTAAAAGATCTAAGGAATGTGAAGAATCCGAAGGATACGAAGAATTCGAAAAAACCGAAGAATCTGAAATATCCGTAGAATTCACAGAATCCAAAGAATCCGAACAATTCGAAGCATCTACTAAATCTGAAGAATTTTAAAAGATCCGAAGAATCCAAGGACTGCGAAGAATAAAAAGAATCCGAAGAATTCGAAGAACACGAAGAATGCGAACAGAAGAAGAATACGAAAAATCTGAAGGAATCGCAAAATCCGAATAATCTGAGGAATCCGAAGGAACCAAAGAATTCGAAAACTCCAATGAATTTGAAGAATTTTGAAGGATCCGCAAAATCCAAAGATTGAAAAAAATTCAAAGAATCTAAAGCTCTGAAGAATAAAAGGAATCGGAAGAATCAGAAGAATTCGAAGAATCCCTACCTGAGCTGAGGAATCTGTTGAATCTAAGAACTCTTAGGAATCAGATGAATTTGAGGAATCTGACGAGTCTGAAGAATTTAAAGAATCTGAAGAATCAGTGTGTGAAACTATTCAAAGAATCTAAAAGACACGTAGGATACTAAAATCCCTAGAGTCAAAAGAGTCTAAAGAATTCGAAAAAATGGGAGATTCCAAATAATCCAAGCAATCCAAGATGTTCAAATAGCCCAAATTGTTCTAATGCAAATGGTCCCAGAAAATCTAATCCGTTCCAAGTTCCAAGGGATCCGAAAAGCCTTACGAGTGGAAAGAACCAAAGGATCTGATTTTAAAGACATCAAAGGGTTCGAAGAAACACAATACAAATTTGCCTTCTTATCCATTTCTTTTAGATTTTTCATTTTTGTGTTCCCGATCGATTGTGGTTATGGGGAGATGAACTATTCAGGCCCTAATTGGGACCCCCCCCCCCCCCTCTACTGTATGCCTTTCAAGTTTCTGATCGACCTTTTGATTCATTTCTCTCGTGAGTCAAACACAAAATTAAAGTTAAAAAGTCGGTGTAATTCATCCAAGCGTAATTAATTAGCCAATACCTTCGGCAGGAAGATCCTCTCAGTTTTGATTAACGAACGAATTAATAAAGTCGTACGGCATCATGTGAACTTCTTTTTTTTTTGGTCCTTCCAAATTACAAATGTGAGAAAACGGTGTTGCTGGGAATTTCAATAATCAACCTTAAAATTCACGAGCGTATGCTAATTAATTAAAATTTTGTTCACGATTCTGTTATATTTAGAAATTTTAAGACGGTCATTAAAGCTACATCATAAAGGTAACGTTAGAAAGAGATAAATTAGAAACACGCAATAAATTTCCGCCATCAAATCTGGAAAAATCCGTCGCAAATTTCGCAGATTACGAAGAACGTCCCCGGAATGTCGCTGCTAAATGGAATACGGAAACAAAGATTTTCGAGACAATTATTCATCCCCCCCGAAAACCGGAAGTCGCGTTTATAATAAAGCTTTTTTAAACATCTGTACATCATTTTTCTCTTTCGATTTAATAAAATTCCGCTCCGCCGTTTTAAGTGGTAATTTTAAAATAACTAACCGAATATACCCCTTCCGTTCCATAAAGAGTCTGCAACATTTCCGGTTTTATTAACCCTTTTTCTACATCTGTAACAAACAGACAAGAAATTTAACATATGCCGAACGAAATTGAATTAAAAGGCGCTCTCTCCCTCGAATATTTCCCACACCGTAAATTTCGAAAAGCAAAATTCCTCACTTGTGTCACACTTGTAATGTTTCCATAACTTCGCGCGAAGGACAAGAAAAAACAATTCCGGTTGCGGGGGCGTGAGAAATGAAAATCGAAGGGGCCCTTCTGGATTTAGCGCTCCCGTCGAGAGAAAACATAAGGGGAAGAAACGACAACCGTAATTAATAGTTGTAACCCGGCTAAAGGGGATTTTTTAAATTTATGCTAAAATATGATTCCATGTGCCTTTTTAAAAGAAGAAAAATGAAGGGTTGCGTCGTGTATTTTTAAAACGCGGTGTATATTAAGACGCTCCCCGTTTTTAATATATAAATGTATGTTTTTAAATTTAGTCGCCCGATGCGGGCTGGGGGAAAAAAATGAAAGCAGAAACGTAGTCTTTCAATCAAAGTTGATTAGTGACAATTTGACGACGATGTCTGACGAGGAAGATGAATTTGCCGGCGAAGTCGATAAGTAAGTGAAAGAATTTCGCTTTTATCTTTTTGGGATTCGGCGAGGCTTTATTCGATTGGGATTGGAAATTTATTTAGTCGCTTATTGTAGAGCTTTCTGGCTTATCAATACCCTTTTGTTGCAACTCCGATTCATTAGAGAGACGAACTACCCGGAGAAATGTGTAACATTCACCTCTGGGGCGTCCAGATGATGTCCCGAACGTCGGGGCAATACGCATGCGTGGGGGTTTTCAAAATTGTACTTGACGTTTTTAAGGCATCTTCTCATTTAATAACATTTTTTCAGAGTTTTTCAGAGCCGTTAAGGGTGGGCTTTTGGAGCTCTCTCTTGAATTTAAGATTAGAAAGTTTTAGTAATCTTTTCTACCGTAGTTAACAACGTGATCTTGAAGAAAAGGTCTGTAACTTTTGAACTAGTAGCCCAATCTTGGAATTGTTTGAAATTGTGGATTCTACAGGCCACATTCTATAAGAAAATTTTTTTTGCAGGTCGATCTGAGACAATTTTTTTTTCGGGGCTCAAAAAAAGGCAGTGTATAACCTTCCTTTTTTTTTACAAAAATCTACTCCCTCAAAATTTCTCGGGAAAACACTTTTTCTTATTAATTTTGGTGCGTAGAATCCAAAACAATTCGTACTTTTTCGATCAGACTTCTCAATCAAAAGTTATAGACTAGAAACCAATTTCGAAAAAAAATTCAAAGGGCTGTAACTTTTGAACTAGTAGCCCAATCTTGGAACTGTTTGAAATTATGGATTCTACAGGCCACATTCTATAAGAAAATTTTTTTCCGGGTCGATCTGAGACAATTTTTTTTTCGGGGCTCAAAAAAAGGCAGTGTATAACCTTCCTTTTTTACCAAAAATCGACTACACCAAAATTTCTCGGGAAAACACTTTTTCTTATTAATTTTGGTGCGTAGAATCCAAAACAATTCGTACTTTTTCGATCAGACTTCTCAATCAAAAGTTATAGACTAGAAACCAATTTCGAAAGAAAATTCAAAGGGCTGTAACTTTTGAACTAGTAGCCCAATCTTGGAACTGTTTGAAATTATGGATTCTACAGGCCACATTCTATAAGAAAATTTTTTTTCCGGGTCGATCTGAGACAATTTTTTTTTCGGGGCTCAAAAAAAGGCAGTGTATAACCTTCCTTTTTTACCAAAAATCGACTACACCAAAATTTCTCGGGAAAACACTTTTTCTTATTAATTTTGGTGCGTAGAATCCAAAACAATTCGTACTTTTTCGATCAGACTTCTCAATCAAAAGTTATAGACTAGAAACCAATTTCGAAAGAAAATTCAAAGGGCTGTAACTTTTGAACTAGTAGCCCAATCTTGGAACTGTTTGAAATTATGGATTCTACAGGCCACATTCTATAAGAAAATTTTTTTCCGGGTCGATCTGAGACAATTTTTTTTCGGGGCTCAAAAAAAGGCAGTGTATAACCTTCCTTTTTTACCAAAAATCGACTACACCAAAATTTCTCGGGAAAACACTTTTTCTTATTAATTTGGGTGCGTAGAATCCAAATCAATTCGTACTTTTTCGATCAGACTTCTCAATCAAAAGTTATAGACTAGAAACCAATTTCGAAAAAAAATTCAAAGGGCTGTAACTTTTGAACTAGTAGCCCAATCTTGGAACTGTTTGAAATTATGGATTCTACAGGCCACATTCTATAAGAAAATTTTTTTCCGGGTCGATCTGAGACAATTTTTTTTCGGGGCTCAAAAAAAGGCAGTGTATTACCTTCCTTTTTTACCAAAAATCGACTGCACCAAAATTTCTCGGGAAAACACTTTTTCTTATTAATTTTGGTGCGTAGAATCCAAAACAATTCGTACTTTTTCGATCAGACTTCTCAATCAAAAGTTATAGACCAGAAACCAATTTCGAAAGAAAATTCAAAGGGCTGTAACTTTTGAACTAGTAGCCCAATCTTGGAACTGTTTGAAATTATGGATTCTACAGGCCCACATTCTATAAGAAAATTTTTTTCCGGGTCGATCTGAGACAATTTTTTTTGCGGGCCTCAAAAAAAGGCAGTGCCTTTGGAGCGTAAAATTGTCATTTAAAAGCTTTTGGGAGTCCTTAAGAGGTTTCAATAGTAGTAAATATTAGTTTCTTTAAGACCCTTTAAGGGTTCTAAATTAATTTAATGGGTTTAAAGTCTCTAAGTAATTTAAAAAATACTTGGAAGTCTTCATGAACTCTCAGAGATCTTCAACAGCCTACAAAAGACCTTGAAAAGTCTTCAAAAACGCCTTGAGACTCTTACAGAGCCTCCAAAATCGGTTATTGACTTCCTGAAGATTCACTTTAGAAATAATCGCAAGTTTTAAAGTTCTTTTTCCTACAACAATCACAAGATCTTCTTATACTGGGGGGTATTCCAGACCCCCCGGTTCTACATTATGTCCCAAGACGTATAGTGCACATATTTTTGGAAAGGAACCATGAAAATTATCACCAGGAGCTCGTGATGTATGGAATACTAGTCAGGAAACGCGGTTTTAATAGGCTCCATATGCAAAACTACCACAAAAGTCCTTATGGGGGAATGGGATGAGAAAGAACGTAGCACCGGGGGGTCTGGGGGGTATGGAATACCCCCCAGTATACGAAAACTTAATAATGGTTGTAGGAAGGAGAACATCTAAGCGATACTTCCTTGGGAAAACGTTTTAATGTTGTTTTTCCTACAACTATCATTAGGTCTTCGTATAGGACGAATTTGTCTAGGGGTCAGTTCGGAGGCGCACTTTCCAGGGGCGAGCGTTCCGGGGACGATTTACCTAGTGCGCCAATCTTCTGGAGGCGAGCATTCCCAAAACGAACCTACGTCTCACCTCTCGACCTCACTCGCTCTGCAGGAATTGGCTTCAAAAGAGCCTTTTCCTCTCGTCTCTTTTTCCTTCCTGTTCTTCATTTTATTCTTTTCGTTTTCGCCTTTTTCCATGCTCACCTGGTTCCTCCTCTCTTCTTTCACCTCGTTCTTCATTTTCTCGTTCTGATTTTGCTTATTTATTTTCTTCTCCTCGGTTTTCCGGTTATAGCTTCATTTCTGTTCGGCATGTTCTACGCAATCGTCGGCGTACGGTGTTGAATTTACTCCTTCCATTGAGTAGGCTTTGAGGAGGGGGGTTAGCTTCAAGCAATTTGAGAACTGTTGGCGCGGTTAATAGGAGGGGGGGAGGGGCGCAATATTTTTTTAATTCCTTTGTTGCCCACCTCGTCACCGGTGTGTAGTGCCCACCCGAAATCTTACTCTTGAAAATTATCCGAATATTATTGATTTAAATTTTAATCGATGGATCTCTAACACGCACTAAAGAAGCAGTAAAAAAATCCTAGCAATACACCAACGATTGCTTGAAACAAATTCGTTTTATTGGCATTGATTAGATACCTTTTCAGATCTACGCACGGCGAAGCAGGCGAGAGCTCACCCAGAGCTGGCGATTTCACGGCGGAGGTCGTCTTCGATAAGAGACTAACCTTCGAAGAGGCGTCGCGATGCCTCAACATGCTGGGCAAGGACGAGACCGGCATGCGCTACGCCTACCTCAAGATAACCGCCACCGAAAGGTAACCTCCACGCGCGTTTCTTCCGGTAGCCGAAACCCGATAAAAAACAAATGGAAATCATTTCCTTAAACGATTTTATTACAATTTATACATCAGCCCGATCGGTAGTTGATTTGACACATCGAAGCGACTCGACCGGTTTTTTTTCGCGTTTTTTTTCCCACTCGCCTCGACCGTTTCGAGAGCGCATTCATTCGATTCGTTATTAATTACAATGTACAAATTATACCTATAACAGAAGTTCATAAATTTATTTAAATGAGATTTAGTATTATAATTTAGAGGAATGCGTTTTAAACAATTATTTCTGACAGATTTATAAATTTTTTCGGCGTTCCATCTACAATCGCACGAATTTTTCCACCATTTTTTCTTCGTATTGTCCGTAATTTATTATCGTCCGAGGATATTTTATACGCCGGACAGGAAAATTATAAAGTAGAAAATGTTTTTAGATTTATTTTGTTTTTGAGCGGCGACGGTAGGTAGGAACCTTCGCACTTATGACTCACGCCACGATTTCGAATTCTTCATTTCGATTCTTTGATTCCAAAAACTGATTGTATCAGGAGCACAGGCGATATAAACAAGCCCTACGCGAGATCATTGGACTTTCCTGCGAGCAGAGTACAAAGGCAATGGGATAGAAAATAAAATAAAATCGCTGCATCAGAAACTCAGAATGCTGCAAATATACTGACCTGTTCGCCTGATACTGGACTCTACCTAACAATTAAGGTAGCTCTAAATAAATCAGTTTATTACTTTATCAGGAGTACAGATTGCTGGTGTTCTAAGGCATCAAACTGCAGATACCAACACTCTTTCAGAAACTAATTAATTGTATCAGGCGCACAATAGTAGAAACTTGTAAGGAGGTCAACAGATATCTCTGAATTTTTCCAGTAAAAAATTGAGATGCAGGAATAAAAAAATTAATTGATAGGCTCTCTGATGTTATATTCTCATGTTACTAAATTGCTTAAGCCCTAATTAGGTCAGGAACATAGAAATCTCCCAAGTAATCTATCAATCGATTATTCGTCACCATCTCACCTACGAAACAAACTGTATCAGGAGCACAGCGGGTTAACGCCTGTCACTGTCCCCTAAGAATTCAAAAAAGTTTGGGACAGAGGTTAGTTAGACGGAGAGGTTAGTGGGAAAGGTTGGACGTTGAGTTAGAACAAAAAGTTGGAGTTAGAGGTTAAAGGAGGGGGTTAGAAGGAAAAGTTACTGAGAGAGGGTGGAGGGAGATAGTTGTAGGGAAAATAACATTTCCTCTCTTCCATTGAGGATATTCCATTTAATGTTCTCTTCCCTATAGCTATCATAAGGTTGGCGATCCCCCGGTTCTACATTCTTCCCCAAAACGTATAGTTCACGCACCATATAAACCATCATTTTTGGAGAGGGGTCATAAAATCTGATACCAGGGGCTCATCGAGTGTGGAGTACTCGCAAGTAAAGGCCGATTCTATAGTCGTGGTAGTTTTGTGGGAGATCTTAGCACCGGGGGGTCCGGGGGGTATGGAATACCCCCCAGCACAAGAAGACCTTGTGATAGTTGTGGGGAAAAGAACATTAACTCTCTTCCATTGGGGATATTCGATTTAACGTTCTCTTCCCTATAAGTATCATAAGGGTTTCGATTACTGGGGGGTATTCGATACCCCCCAGACCCCCCGGTTCTACATTCGTCTCCAAAACGTACCATATAAACCATCATTTTTGGAGAGGGGTCATAAAATCTGATACCAGGGGCTCATCGAGTGTGGAGTACTCGCAAGTAAAGGCCGATTCTATAGTCGTGGTAGTTTTGTGGGAGATCTTAGCACCGGGGGGTCCGGGGGTATGGAATACCCCCCAAGCACAAGAAGACCTTGTGATAGTTGTGGGGAAAAGAACATGAACTCTCTTTCATTGGGGATATTCGAATTAATGTTCTCTTCCGTATAAGTATCATAAGGGTTTCGATTACTGGGGGATATTCCATACCCCCCAGACCCCCCGGTTCTACATTCGTCTCCAAAACGTACCATATAAACCATCATTTTTGGAGAAGTCATAAAATTCGATACCAGGGGCTCATCGGGTGTGGAGTACTCGCAAGTAAAGGCCCAGTCTATAGCGTAGTAGTTTTGTGGGAGATCTTAGCACCGGGGGGCCTGGGGGGTATGGAATACCCCCAAGCACAAGAACACCTTGTGATAGCTGTAGGGAAAGGAACAATAACTCTCTTTCATTGGGGATATTCGAATTAATGTTCTCTTCCCTATAAGTATCATAAGGGTTTCGATTACTGGGGGGTATTCCATCCCCCCCCCCCCCAAGACCCCCCGGTTCTACATTCTTCCCCAAAACGTAAGTAAAAAGTGTAAGGTGCAATTATTGCATGCGCAATGTCAATTTTCATATTTTTTTGAGATTTTAACTAAAGGTTCTTCTAGTAAAGGGCAAAGGCAAACATATCGCATATTTTAAACATCAGGTGTCCGCATGCGTTAATTGCGCAATGCCAAGTTTGTTACTTATATGAATATTTATGCCATAACTTATTTTCCGTTGAACAAAAATATTTATAACTTTATTCCTGCGTATGGAAAAATTGCAAGGTTATAATATTGCAGAGCGGTTTGATTTTACCTTTGGAAAAAAACATTCTTTGCACTCATTATAAAGCGATACTTTCTATTTTTTGTTAGTATTCGGTTGTATACAGACCCCCCTCCCTCTTTCATTATTTCGTAAAGTTTGTCCAATGATAGCTGTTCATTCCTTTTGCGTGTGAATTTCGTGTAAATTATGAAAATAAGGGTTTTTTAAGTAAGGACTAGGATAACGTTATATGTGAGTATAGACCCTTTTTTATTTTGCTTAAACGCTTTGCTCTTTCTTTGTAAAATTTGAAATGCCTAATTTGTCATTTTTTAAAAACAAGTTATCTAATCTAATGAACCTGAATCGAATCTAAATGCCATAAACCATAATTCTGAACAATCTCGTCGATAAATCTGATCCTGTCCAATCCGATTTAATCCGTGTAAGTTGGATATGAATGCGATTAACCTAAATTCAATAAACCGGCTCTGATGCCTGCGCATTTCGTTAATCCGAATCTGAATCTAATCTCACGAACCTAAATTTGCTTCCTGATTCCGATTAATGGATCAGAATCTGAATCTGACGACCTTTGTTATAGAAAACTCACCGACGTCTCCGTCGTACTGAGCTTCAAGCACGTCCTGTTCGTCGAGGTCGGCGACAACCTGCTGACCTTCGACTCTCTGCAGGTCCTCGCCGAAATGCCCTACCTAATTATGCTAAACGCCGAAGGGAATCGAATAAACAGCGCCGCCTTCGAGCGAATGTCCTACCTACAGGTGCCCTTATTATTCTTCGATCCGACGTTACCCTCCCAATTTGCAGGTGCTGAAACTGAGTCGGAACCTGGTGCTCGACACTAAGGACGTCGACCAACCGGCTCTCGAACACTTAGGATTAAATCGTAAGTGTTTCTCACGAGTTTTCGATTAAAAAACGGCGACAATCCATCATTTCCTCCGGTATTTTTTTAAATAGTCAAATCTCGGGGAGGAACAGCCGGATTTCTATTATTGTTCGGAAAAGGATTTTTTAGGTAAAGTTTCTTAAGGGGTTGAGCGCTTTTGTAATCGGAAACCGGCCGATTTTTTTCGGTAGGGGTTACCAATTTTTTTAATGATACGAATGATTGATAATATCGACTCGGTGATTGATGATTGGCCGTCGATTGCTTTTAATTGAGGAAAAGTTCGTTTTTTCGAGCCTTTTTGTGGGAATTTCGGGGTGCTCGCATATGCGTGGTTAATTAAAAGCGTTTAAGCCTTCGGAGGTTCTTAAAAGTAGGTAATTGAAGCAGCTGCGTTTAGTTAGAGAGACTGCATCTCGAAAGGACGTTCACCGCGGGAACGTATTTGTTTGCAGACAGATTCTCACATCAAAAGGAGCTTACAGAAAAAAGGGGTAAAAAACGCGCATCTTTCCTTTTTCACTCGCACATATTTTGATATTTACCGAAATTTAAGACGCGGCCGCAGGTAAGGATCGGGATTCCATTCAGGTGAAAGGGAAAGGTAAACACGCTGGTTACCTGCTCCGGCAATGGAGACAAAAAAAACGCGAGCTTTTTCGAGCTTTTAGAAAGTCGCTTCTCGGAAAATAAGTTCGTGAGGCAAACACTACAAAGTTCAACGGCACTTCTTATTTTAGTCACAATTTAAATGCAAATTAGAGGAATTATTGAATACATCAATTAGCGTTTTATATTTCGTCTTCGGATGACACATGGATAAAGGCTAGATTGATGATAAACGCGCCTATTTGAAGATATTTTGATTGAAAAAAAAAAAACTCATTCCATCACGCACCAGGAAAAGGCGAGTGGGATTCGGCACTACCGGTTGCAACAGCTGCGAAATTTTCAATCGGTTTCGAGGGTACTTGTTGCGTGCGTAGATTTCTGCTAATTCAATTTGACTCGAATGTTCCATTCGTAGACAGCGAAAGCTCTACGATTTTTATTAGGGTATAATCCTCTCGCCAAGCGACTGAGATGCAAAATGAATTCACTTGCTCTGTTGTGTTTCTGATACAATTTTTTATTGAGGGAAGGTTTAGCTCCTGTAAACAGCTTCTTAAGTTTTGACTTTTTCCCGAGGACGCCTTTTCTAACGAGTGGAAGGTGGAAGTTTTTCAAAGATGAAATTCTGTGCATTTAAAATTCATCCAAATTTGTAAAAAAAAATTGCTCAAAATTCTCAAAGAGTGAAAGAATGGCAATTAAAAGCCTCCAATTTCAACCCGGATGCTTGGAGCTTAAAGCTCTGAAGCCTGAATCTTTGAAATTCAACTTGGATGGTCTAAACTTGCGCAGATCACTTCAGATTATTAGAACTCCGAGAGTTCTTCTTTCCTAGAATGTGTGCCTGGGGGGTATTCCATACCCCCCAAACCCCCCGGTCTTAAGACTCTCCCCCAAACTGTTAACCTTCAGTACTCTGCTGATCATTTTTTTCAGGGAGGGCTATCGAACTGCCTTTGCTTGAAACTCCAAAATTACCAGTTTGTGTATTCTTCCCCAAAATGTTCACAAGAGTACTGAAGGTTTGACAATTTGGGAGAGAGTAACCCCAGGTGGTTTGGGGTGGCATGGAATACACCCCTCCCCCCAGACACACATACATTCTCGGATAGAAATATTTTATAAACCTTCTTCGTGAATTATTATTGAAGTTCGGAAAAATCTCATTTCCTGGAGTATACCTTTGTGTGTGGCTGGGAGGTATTGGCTGGGGGGGGGGTTAAACTCTGCTCCAAATTGTTACCATTCAGTATTCTCCCCCAAAACGTTCACAAGGGTACTGAAGGTTTGACAATTTGGGGGAGAGTACGCAAGGTTCGACAATTTGGGAGGTCTGGGAGTCTGGAATTCCCTCTAGGCACACATGCATTGCAGTACAGAAATGTTTTATAAACCTCCTTCGCGAATTGTTATTGGAGTTTGGAAAAATCTCCTTTCCTGGAATGTATTCTCCCCCAAAACGTTCTCAAGGGTACTGAACATATGACAATTTTGGGGGAGAGGCACACCGGAGGGTCTGGGGGGTATGGAATACCCCCCAGGCACACATACTTCCAGGACAGAAACATTTTATAAACCTCCTTCGCGAATTGTTGTTGGAGTTTCGAAAAATCTCCTTTCCTGGAATGTATTCTCCCCCAAAACGTTGTCAAGGGTACTGAACATATGACAATTTTGGGGAGAGGCACACCGGGGGGTATGGAATACCCCCCAGGCACACATACTTTCAGGACAGAAATATTTTATAAACCTCCTTCGCGAATTGTTGTTGGAATTTCGAAAAATCTCCTTTCCTGGAATTTTTTCTCCCCCAAAACGTTCTCAAGGGTACTGAACATATGACAATTTTGGGAGAGAGGCACACCGGGGGGTATGGAGTACCCCCCAGGCACACATACTTTCAGGACAGAAATATTTTATAAACCTCCTTCGCGAATTGTTATTGGAGTTTGGAAAAATCTCCTTTCCTGGAATGTATTCTCCCCCAAAACGTTCTCAAGGGTACTGAACATATGACAATTTTGGGGGAGAGGCACACCGGAGGGTCTGGGGGGTATGGAATACCCCCCAGGCACACATACTTCCAGGACAGAAACATTTTATAAACCTCCTTCGCGAATTGTTGTTGGAGTTTCGAAAAATCTCCTTTCCTGGAATGTTTCCTCCCCCAAAACGTACTGAAAGGTACTGAACATATGACAATTTTGGGGGAGAGGCACACTGGGGGGTCTGGAATACTCCCCAGGCACACATACTTCCAGGACAGAAGTATTTTATAAACCTCCTTCGCGAATTGTTATTGGAGTTTGGAAAAATCTCCTTTCCTGGAATGTATTCTCCACCAAAACGTTCTCAAGGGTACTGAACATATGACAATTTTGGGGGAAAGGCACACCGGAGGGTCTGGGGGGTATGGAATACCCCCCAGGCACACATACTTCCAGGACAGAAACATTTTATAAACCTCCTTCGCGAATTGTTGTTGGAGTTTCGAAAAATCTCCTTTCCTGGAATGTTTCCTCCCCCAAAACGTACTGAAAGGTACTGAACATATGACAATTTTGGGGGAGAGGCACACTGGGGGGTCTGGAATACCCCCCAGGCACACATACTTTCAGGACAGAAGTATTTTATAAACCTCCTTCGCGAATTGTTATTGGAGTTTGGAAAAATCTCCTTTCCTGGAATGTATTCTCCACCAAAACGTTCTCAAGGGTACTCGAACATATGACAATTTTGGGGGAGAGGCACACCGGTGGGTCTGGGGGGTATGGAATACCCCCCAGGCACACATACTTCCAGGACAGAAACATTTTATAAACCTCCTTCGCGAATTGTTGTTGGAGTTTCGAAAAATATCCTTTCCTGGAATGTTTCCTCCTCCAAAACGTACTGAAAGGTACTGAACATATGACAATTTTGGGGGAGAGGCACACCGGAGGGTCTGGGGGGTATGGAATACCCCCCAGGCACACATACTTCCAGGACAGAAACATTTTATAAACCTCCTTCGCGAATTGTTGTTGGAGTATCGAAAAATCTCCTTTCCTGGAATGTTTCCTCCCCCAAAACGTACTGAAAGGTACTGAACATATGACAATTTTGGGGGAGAGGCACACTGGGGGGTCTGGAATACCCCCCAGGCACACATAATTCCAGGACAGAAGTATTTTATAAACCTCCTTCGCGAATTGTTATTGGAGTTTGGAAAAATCTCCTTTCCTGGAATGTATTCTCCACCAAAACGTTCTCAAGGGTACTGAACATATGACAATTTTGGGGGAGAGGCACACATACTTCCAGGACAGAAACATTTTATAAACCTCCTTCGCGAATTGTTGTTGGAGTTTCGAAAAATCTCCTTTCCTGGAATGTATTCTCCCCCAAAACGTACTGAAAGGTACTGAACATATGACAATTTTGGGGGAGAGGCACACCGGAGGGTCTGGGGGGGTATGGAATCCCCCCCAGCCTCACATACTTCCAGGACAGAAACATTTTATAAACCTCCTTCGCGAATTGTTGTTGGAGTTTCGAAAAATCTCCTTTCCTGGAATGTTTCCTCCCCCAAAACGTACTGAAAGGTACTGAACATATGACAATTTTGGGGGAGAGGCACACTGGGGGGTCTGGAATACCCCCCAGGCACACATACTTTCAGGACAGAAGTATTTTATAAACCTCCTTCGCGAATTGTTATTGGAGTTTGGAAAAATCTCCTTTCCTGGAATGTATTCTCCACCAAAACGTTCTCAAGGGTACTGAACATATGACAATTTTGGGGGAGAGGCACACCGGAGGGTCCGGGGGGTATGGAATGGTTTTCGAATACGAGCGGAGTGGCAAAAAATTCCCCTACTGAAATTCGTATCTTGTTAGAGTCTGACGTTTCGAAGTTTGCGATCAGATCAGAGAGGTCTTGAATTTCTGTGTCCTTACCAGTTCTTGGTCGGAGTAGTTCTCTTTTCTTATCCTTCTGCGTTGAATACTATTTGACCGGTTCCTTCATTTGGATGCTGGTTTTTTAACCGACTTTCTATCCGCATGCGAATCAACCAATGTTGATTACCATATTTCATTCGAAGTTTCGAAGCGGAATCGACTAAATCAACCCCCCCGATACAACACGCGAAATCTCCTAATAATCTTAAAAAACCACGTGTGTCCGAAGCACTACGAGATAGTCCGCACACAATAGATTCCGCACCCTAAGAAACCTTTTTTTTTCCACATCGCATTATCGCACAATGAGGGTAGTCGGGCTACCTACCATTTTTTAACCCTTATTTGCAATTTCAGATTTTGCAGCTGTGTTTATCCGTAAAAGGGTTTAAATTCGGTATAGGGTTACTCAGCGTTTTTTAAGCGCGTACGTATACTTTTTTTTTGTATAATAGAAAAAGGGCTGGCTTTTTTCTTCTGTTAATGCGGAAAGGGTAGTTTCTCAGGGTTTCGACTTTCGCGTAGGATATTTTTTTTGCCGGAATGTTTTAAAAAGCAACACAAACAGCGCGTCGCGGGGAAGGGTTGACATGGGAAAGGATGTCGGGAATTTTTAGGGAGATTTTCTTTATTAATTAAGCTGCGCGCACCAAAGCGACGGACGGAAACCGAGGAAATTCCCCCAACGCGAGCTAAGTTTATAATGACGTGGAGAGTTTTATGTGAAAAAAAAAAGTTTTCGTTGCTCTGTCAACGAAAATGATTGATTAACACAAATTTTAAACGTTTTTTACATTTCTCACAGGTTTTTTGTATGATAAATGATTTTCGAGTGCTTTATACACGTTTCCTCCTTTCTAGACAATCAAATTTACTTGTCACAGTTCGAATCCGATCGCTTAGAACAACTTAAACAATTGGAGCTGAGGGGGAACTTTTTAACCGACCTGTCCGGCAGTTACCCGGCCAGCCTCGAGGCTCTGTATCTGGTATAAGGCTCGAATCGCGACACCTTCCGACTTTGACTTTCAGGCGGAGAATCGCATCAAGGAACTGACACTGTCGTCCGCCGACTTTCGGCGGCTGGCCGTCCTCCACCTGCGCGAGAATTACGTTCGGAAGCTGGACGGACTCGGACGCGCCGATCTGCCCAGCTTGAGGTATCTCAACCTGCGAAAGAACAAGATCACGAAGTTCAGGCAGTTTCGAAAGCTGGCCCGGCTGCCCAAGCTGGAAACGCTAATCGTCTTGGGGAATCCGTTTTACGGTAAGCGAGGCGAGTGTCGTCCGCCGCCGATTTACGAATGGATTCTTTTAGGCGAGGAAGAGAAACCGGGGGAGGACGACGAAGAGCTAGGCGACGAGGAAGAGAAGGAGGACATCGCCAGGTTTGCCCACTTCCTCTTTTTTCTGCGCTACTGATAAGTTAACCAGGCAGAGACGAGATCACGCTTCACACAGAGTCGAAGACTGATATCATGAGTCATGACTATCAGGAGCACAGTTGAAAGAGTTCTTTAATTACACCAGCAGCACATATCAGTCATTTCACACGCTATCTTACTTCTGTGCTCCTAATACGAAGTATTTTTTTTCGCGGAGGCATTGTTAGAGTAAGTCCCGCTGGTATCACTCCTCCTGATAGGTACATAACAGGCTAGATCTATACTTCTTCTCTTCATTGCTCCTGTTACGTCTAGCGGTTCTAAAAGAGTCGTTGGTCATTTCTCAATACAATCAACCCTTTCCACAAAAGATTTTTGCTCTGGTAAAACGCCCTGTGCACCTCTGACACAAACTTCATCAGTTTTACCAGTCGGGTGCTCAGGGACTTAGGAATCATGAAGATTTCGAGGCCCTTAGGAATGCCATGGTTTTTACGACTTCTTAGAACCGAAAAAATTAAAGTCAACGAACTTTCAGAGAACCGAGGGCACTAAGTCTTAAGAACCTAAAGAGCCCTAACAAAATTACCCCTTCTGATAAAACGGAGAGCCCTAAGTATTAACAAAACAACACGCGCCTATAGGGCTTAAAACCCTGAAAACTTGATCCTCAGTAGTAACTCTTCTGGTTACTAAGGGTCAAGTTCTCAGGATGTCAGGTTCTTCAGATTCTTTGACCATAGTGCCTTAGTTGTCCTGCTACTTTGTGGACCCTGTAAACAAAACCGAATGATGAAATACAAATTTACAACCCCCATAATAGGCGAATCGTAATCTGAAAGTGAACTTTTATTTAAAAAATTCATTATTTCTGAAACGGGAGGGGGCTATACTTTTAGATGCACTTAAGGGGTGGTTTGTGGACCCTGTAAACAAAATCGAATGAGGAAACAACAATTGTTGAAGTGGCACAAAAATTACAGCCCCCAGAATAGGCGAATAGTTATGTGATGCTGAATTTTTATTTAAAAAATTCATAATTTCTGAAACGGGAGGGGGTTATACTTTTAAATGCACTTAAGGGGTGGTTTGTGGACCCTGTAAACAAAATCGAATGAAGAAACAAAAATTCTTGAAGTGCCACAAAAATTACAACCCTCACAATAGGCGAATCGTAATCTGAAAGTGAATTTTTATTTAAAAAATTCATAATTTCTAAAACGGGAGGGGGCTATACTTTTAGATGCACTTAAGGGTGGTTTGTGGACCCTGTAAACAAAATCGAATGAGGAAACAACAATTGTTGAAGTGGCACAAAAATTACAGCCCCCAGAATAGGCGAATAGTTATGTGATGCTGAATTTTTATTTAAAAAATTCATAATTTCTGAAACGGGAGGGGGTTATACTTTTAAATGCACTTAAGGGGTGGTTTGTGGACCCTGTAAACAAAATCGAATGAAGAAACAAAAATTCTTGAAGTGCCACAAAAATTACAGCCCCCACAATAGGCGAATCGTAATCTGAAAGTGAACTTTTATTTAAAAAATTCATAATTTCTAAAACGGGAGGGGGCTATACTTTTAGATGCACTTAAGGG